GCATAAAACGTATAAAAATGGCTAACGTGAAATAACATTTTGAGGGTTGACAATGAGTGTTACTGACGATGGAGATTTGGTGGGGCCGGCGGCGGCGACGGCCTCTGATTATGAGGTGAAGCTGATTGCGCCAATCAACATTGCACTGGTGAAGTACTGGGGGAAACGCGATGAGGTAGAAACATTCCTTTCAAGTTTCTTACAGTGCCCACTTTCCGTTCAATGTCGCTTCGTAGTTGATGAGGGAGTTCCTTAAAACTGTCATCGTCCTTAGAGTGTTGCGTTTTCGGTGTTCGCTCGCTCGCACATCGCAGTTTGGCACAGCTAATTTTGCACAGTTAAAAAAAAAAAATGTTCAAATAGAAATATCCCGAAAATACGATGGAAGACGGCATCAGCCTGCGAGTGCAGTAAGCCGAGACGCGGTTTTTTTTGACGCTTCCCAGATTTGGAGCTATCTGCAGATTTTTTAGGCAGCAAAAAACTACAATAAGATTATGCTGTTGGCCGTCTTTCGGGCTTGTTCGCCAGCTTGTTGTCAGGCTGGAAAAAAAAAACAAAACTTCTTCGATATTCACTCTCCTCGACAGATGGGGGCGCCCAGAAATAGCCCGTTATTGGCACATGTCAAAAACGACCGTCCACTGACAAAACTCTCGATGAGCGTTAGAAACAAGTTGATGGCCTATGATGCGTTGTTTGGGATCGCGCGAGTGAAAAATCAGTTTTTTGTTGCATTTGAGGAACTCATGCTTCCGCTGAATGACTCCATTTCGCTGTCAATAAACGATGTATGCGCGGAGACCAGAATACGGGTTGGCCCTTCGGTGAGCGTGGATTCCGTATCAATTAATGGCTCCACCATCAATCTGGCGAAACATCCGCGGTTTTCACGCTGCTTCAAGGTTTTTTGAATTTGTTTTGTATTAATTTTCTACAGTGCATATGATTAAATATACAGGTTGAGTTAGAAGTGTTCATTTTTCTAGGAAGTGAGAAGATTGATTCGGAAACGGTTAATGGTAGCAGATGATGGGGAAAAATCGCG